ACTTTCAGCTCACTGTGTCAATATTGACGATCTAACCGGCACTCCAGTTTAGGTAACCTCAGGGGGAGATAATGGCAATTAGCCCTTGTTATCTGTTCCTGAAGGTCTGGCTAGGAGATAAATATCTGACACCAACAAATGGTGTGCAAATCTCCAGTCAGTAAGTCTGCTTGGTCAGTCTTATCTCTGTACCTTAACACTTAACATCTGGGAAAAAGTTTTAGTGTTTGATATGACCAACGGTCCAGGAGAATTAAAGGTTTGATGTGGTCGTCTTACTTAGATTAAGGATGTATCCAAATCCCTATTTTCATGTATACTTTCAAAATACAAAGAAATAAAAGTAGGTTGAGGAAAGACATTCTGAAATCACCGAGCGTATTGTCACATACAGTATTTTTTTTTTTTTAACGTATCCAGAAACCATGAGTTGTAAACCCTTTGGCTCGGTACTATGGATATCGCAACCCTTCGGCATTGATTCCATTATAGGTACCGTTAATCTGGGAGAAATGTGGCTTTTCTGCCTACCCCCGGGAGTGAACCCGGACCACAAGGAGTTCGTCACCCGGCCGCCGCGAAAGTCAGGTTTAACCAACTTCGCTAGGGAGCCGGGCGTCACATACAGTATAACTATGTGACAAGGTTATCAGGTTATGGCAGTTCCAACTACATGGCAGACGGCTCAGCCCTTGTTGCTCTGCTCCTGTGCCAACACAAACCACACAGAATGTACATCACTGTCCCTTGTTAGAAAATGGACACAGGCTACAGACTCAGCAAAGCCAATAGTAGAGTACACATCCATTAAATGCATAAGACAGCCATCGGAAGTGCCAACACAAAAACTGTCCGATACTAGAAAATGCAGTTTATAGTCGATGAAAGAAGTAGCTGCAACAGATCAGTGGTTGCACATGTAACTAATCGCACAAGGCACCACCTGTTACCTCTGGTGAATATAACGCAGGCGTTGTATTATTATGTAAAGAACCGTTTTCCACCCCTGCAAGGACACTGCGTGTATAGGGATGGACATATATTATCTAGACAGATTGGGAATCGATGGCTGATGTGGACAACCGCATGCCGGCTACCTTTACTTCCTAGGACTTTACCTGGGGCACATTTAAAGACATGTCTACCTGGGAGCCAAGGTCAGTTTTGAAAAAAAAAAAAAAAACAGTCCGGTTCCGTCAGGACCTTGGAATATGCAGGGGGAGTGCCTAGCCACTACACCACGGCCGCCCCCGTATCAAAGTTTAACCGTTGATAAAACAAGGAGCAGCGGCGATCACCAGGTGGCTCGCGTGTGCAGACTGTTTGATACCAAAAATCTCATGGCTTATAACGGAAGCTGTCCTCAACAGGGTTCAACGCAGACGACTTTTCATCACCCCTCTCCTCCCTTCCCCTCCTTTGTTCCCGAGGTATGAAAGATCTAACGAACGAACTACCGGTTACTGCCTTTGTTGTACCATTTTTGGGGTGTAGGCAGGGGGGTCTTTGAGCCAGAGGATTTAGGGCCATATGGTTAGTGCTGTCGTCACGGACTGTGCAGGTAAGGGTTTTATTTTTGCCCCCGACGAACGAATGCCGATGCAAAGGAAAGATTGTGTGTGTTGTGGGGGGGGGGGTGGGAGGGGGGGGGGGAATTGTTCACCATAGTTCCGGTTTCACAGGGAGTCCCGTGTTTGGCCGTCACGTTGGTGGCCCAAAAACATCAATTGTCCTGTTTACCAAACAAAATCTAGAAATCAGCTGTGAAGAGAACATACCTGTGTAGCTTTACCTGTATATGTTGTTACATTCATTACTGTCAGATACATTCAATGTCTAAAATCTGTTGATGGGAATTTTTATTGTGGCTTTGTCGCCATCTCAGTTCAGTTAAAAGAATTTATTTCTCTTCGTTTATTTTTTGGCGACAGTCTTCTGTTGTCAATTTGACAATAAGTTTTTTCAGCGTTACTAGAGTATGAATCGAGTGAATAATGAAACTATCAGACAAATTGTGGGGACGAAAACTTGTACTTGATTCATCGAGAAACAGCAGATGAAGTGGTTTAACCATCTCATTAGAATGCAGCAAGCTCAAATACCATCACAAGCACTACATCTCAGAAAATCAGCTACAAGAGCAAGAGGACGGCCGCGGAAAATAGATTGACAACATTAAAGACACTCTACGCCTTTACGCCATGACAATAGCCAGTGGCAGCCAGCGTGCAATGGGTCCCAAATTATTCCTCCCTACGCCACTTAACGGCAGAAATAGTTTATGATGATGATGATGATGACTGAAGTATGATGCACTATGTGCTTGATTGTGATACTTGATTCGAGAATGTGGTGTCATGTTGCAGTCATTGATTTCCTAACGTAACCATCCCTCGACTTACGATGGTTAATCCCGAAATCTATGAAATAGTTTCTTCTTGAGATTGTAGTGTTGTTGTCCCTGTGTGTAGTGGGTTCATGACATCTCGAGGTTGTCCCTGTGTGTAGTGTGTTCATGACATCTCGAGGTGGTCCCTGTGTGTAGTGGGTTCATGACATCTCGAGGTGGTCCCTGTGTGTAGTGTGTTCATGACATCTCGAGGTGGTCCCTGTGTGTAGTGGGTTCATGACATCTCGAGGTTGTCCCTGTGTGTAGTGTGTTCATGACATCTCGAGGTGGTCCCTGTGTGTAGTGTGTTCATGACATCTCGAGGTGGTCCCTGTGTGTAGTGTGTTCATGACATCTCGAGGTGGTCCCTGTGTGTAGTGGGTTCATGACATCTCGAGGTGGTCCCTGTGTGTAGTGTGTTCATGACATCTCGAGGTGGTCCCTGTGTGTAGTGGGTTCATGACATCTCGAGGTGGTCCCTGTGTGTAGTGTGTTCATGACATCTCGAGGTTGTCCCTAGTGCTGATATGTAATTGTGTAGTGGTTTATGTTATCTGTGAGATTGTTCCTAGTGCTGATATATAGTTGTGTAGTGGTTAATGTTATCTGTGAGGTTGTTCCTAGTTCTGATATATAGCTGTTTAGTGGTTAATGTTATCTGTGAGGTTGTCCCTAGTGCTGATATGTAATTGCCTATTGGTTTATGACATCTTGAGGTTGTCCTTAGTGCTGATATATAGCTGTGTAGTGGTTTATGTCATCTGTGAGGTTGTCCCTAGTGCTGACATATCATTGTCTAATAGTTTATGACGTTTGTGAGGTTGTCCGGAGAGCTTATATATAAAAAAAATTGTCCAGTGATTTATCACATCTATGAGGATGTCTGTTATATTTGTATCGCAGTAAATAGTAATTTATGCCTAAACTGTGTTCCTCATATTTTTCTTTGGAAAACGTTGAGCTCATAAATGTGAGATTTTAATTACAAATGTCTGACACGAGTTTATGTTTGTTTTAGTATAAATATGCAAATCTACGATCAGCGGAAGTGAAAACAAAACTCAACTAGTACCAAACTCAAAATATTGAGCTCTGGTGTCAAATCTAAACTAATGTATGTAGCTGAAACATTGAGAAGAATTACAACAGTTACTAATAAACTACAAACATTCATTAACTGTTGCCTGTGCAGAATATAGGGAATGGTATGGAAGAATCAATAGTATAGAGTTTTTGGGAAAGAACTAAACACATTCTAGTGAATCAATAGGTGAAGAAAATGCTGGCTCTGGATAGGACACACGTTATGAAAATCTGAAACAGTATAACTAGAATGTATTCGATGTGGAACTCACGAGGTCAAACACATAAAGGTTGACCAAAAACAAATAAACAAGGGAACTAGAGACCTCAGAAGTTAAACAGATTGGACGGACATTGCTGCAAACCATATCAACGGAAAGGGCTAGTTGACCTGATCTGGATGAGGGCATATGCTGCATTGGGAGATCAATGCATGTAGTCACTGAGGCAGGTCACAGTGAACTATTGCCAGAAATGGGCTCATCCAAGCGAGTAGTTACTGAGGCAGGTAACGGTGAACCAGTGCTAGAAATGGGCTCATCCAAAGTAGACAGACAAGTGCTTGACAAGGATGTGTGCTGGCTGCTGATTTGTTTCATTACACACTGAGCTTCCTTCATAAAGAGACCGTGGCTGGTGATCGTAATACACACAGCTTACGTTTGTTGATATCAACAAGTTAGGAGATGATCGGTTTAGTAGCTGTAGAGACTGAAGCATTTCTTGGCTTGAACAGTTTGAAGACAGCGGTAATTGTACAATCACAGAAACTGAGTGTGCCTAAATGAACACTTAAAGTCAGTGGCATTTAACTGGGACAAGTACATAAATGCAAGTATCTAGACACATAGATAATATCAAATTCGAGATGAATCACTGACACAAAGAACTGAATAGGACCAGCAAAATCCATGTTTAATGAGGTGAACATATTCGTTTTCGCCCATTGAAGAATGCTTTGGTGGGGGGGGGGGGGGTGATAATGGCAGCACTATGAATGCATGATTGTCTGTCTTGGTTACTTAGCTAAAAAGACATAGCTGAATACTTCTTGAGGACGTCCAATCAACCTCATCATGTCTCAACTGTTGTAGTAAGTGCATGGGTGAGAGCTGAAGTTAAACTATTTTCAAATGTTGGAATATCATTTCATTTTCATTGCATTGTCTTCTGTTACAGGTACTTTTAGAATTGTGTGTTCTTGATCGGACCTTCCCCCCCCCCCCCCTTTTTCTCCTTTTAACACAGTGGTTCTCAACTTTCCTAATGCCGCGGCCCTTTATATAGTTCCTTATGTTGTTGTGACCCTTAACCATACAAATATTTTCATTACTACATAGCTTCAGTGAATTAGTGTTTCCCATGACCTTAGGCCACCCCCTGTAAAAGAGTCGTTCGACCCACAAAAGGGTCGCGATCCACAGGTTGAGAACCGCTGTTATAACGCGTCATTTATTTTATTATAGAATAAATCAAACCAGCCGTGCATTTGTTCCACAATAAAGTAATTTCATTTTTTAATCTCCAGTCCCAGTCTGCGGGAAATACAAACTTCCTCCTGGCCAATTGCAGTCTTCGACAAGGCAACATTCACAGACCAAGCAATCTTCCATAGAGAGTGACCTCACCAGCACGCCTGCATTGCCAGCTTGGACTGAAACCTTGTTGTACTCGTCGGCTGTACAAGTACAGACTCTTGCTGACGTGAAGCTCAATCAGACCGAACACGTTTCTGACACATCATTGACTGGAAGCCAGAGACAATCTAAAAGCTTCCACACAAATAGTGACTGTAAATTTACAGATCATCTAGTTGTTCTCAACTCACTTAACGCTCACCAGGCAAAGATATCGGAGGATCCGGTCATCATTTCTTTACCGTCTGCCTCAGAAAGCCACAGTACAAACCGCATTTTCCCTGAACCAAGAAGACAATCCTTTACCGATACAACAGACAAAGCAAGATCATATTCTTGCACAGAAGAGGATGTGTCCAGTATTATTCATCATGTTAAAGCAAAACTCAAAAGTAGAAGTGAGAACTTAGTTTCAGAAAGTAAGAGTTATAACATACTTGCTGTAGCTGAAAAAGATCGTTTACCGCCAACTTCAGCACACACACCCAAAGCAAAGCTCGGATCTACAGGTCACTTTACTGAAGATCAATTAGACAAGGGTATCATCTCATACAGTGTAGATCCGTCTACTTCACGGTTCTTAGAAAACTCTTCTGAAAGCGCTTCTGACAAATACAAAGAAGCTCGTGACAAAATTCTAAAGTCATCAAACATAAAAATTGTGTCTACCACGGAAAACAGTACTAGTGTGTTAACAGAGCTACACATTCAACCTTCTTTGCGATATAACTTGGGTTCAAGTACCATCTTGTCGGCCAATCAAACCACATTGTTTGCAAATTCGGTCATTTCCTATGCCACCCAACAAAACCGCACCTCCTCCGATTTCGAAATCCCAGTAAATGTAAATGTATGTTCTCATGTTGTGCAAGAAAACAAGGCAACAGGCAAGACAATAAATGAAATAGAATGGAACCCTCAGCAACATAACAGAACTCAGCGAACGGCCGTCAGCAGTCTTGACGAACACAACTCACCAGCAGGGATAGTTGGACTCACTGAGGCCAGCCCGTCAACACAACCACACTTGAGCTCATTAACTGCTCAGAGACCAAAAGCAATTACCAACTTTGTGATATCTGGTACACGAGGCCCAGGTGATGTGATTCCTGACACCCTGACCGACATTCACAAGCTGGAAACAGGTCAAAGACCTTCCAAGTCTAAAACTCTTGTTGCCTCACTTGCCTCAAAATTCTCTCCTTCTGATAACCAAGGTACACCTTTAACCTCGGCACATATACAGAGAAGCCAGTCTCTTCACGTCAGGTTGGTGAACAGTTCACATTCGGGTCCAGGTCAAGAAAAGTCACCGTTGAACGGGACATCAAAGTCAAGTTCGCAAGTTCAACATGGACCTGACTATACACCCACTGGTAACAATGATGACAAATCATCCAGTGTTCATCAGATAACACCACAGGTTAGAGTACTCACACGTCTCGCTGATTCCTCAAACTTAGAGACAACAACCGTGAATAATATACAGGTTCCTGGGAACAGCGAACCCAAGAGCAGCCGTGAATTTTCCCACAGTAGATCCCCAGGTTTAGAACTACCAGCAATGCAGAATAAAGTCAGGACAACGACAATCAAACGAAGCAAGTCATTGGGGCGAAGTTTGACTGAGTCTCACATAAATCGTCCCGATGTATACACATCAAAGCTTGAGCTACAGATGGTGCCAAAGATTAAAGATACATCAGATCCCATCTCCGATGTGTCGAATGAACTCACACAGTTGCAAACAAGAAACATCCCTGATCGATATTCGGGAGATTATTGTCGGAAGCAGTGCGACTTTAAAATAGAGCCAACACAAAGAGAGTACAGCAACAGTTGTGTCACCACATCGCGGGTCCAGTTGGTAGACATGGACTCGCATTGGCCAATGGCTGCCCCGCTTGCCTGTTCAGAGGAGTTAGCTAATATTTCTTACAAACAAAGAAGTGCCGTTGAAACAGATTTGAACTCCACGGTTGATGCTAAAGACATTTCTAGTCAGACACAAGTACAAGAAGAACCCATATCTTCTACTCCACAATTGCAAGCATCGAGTGCGTGCAGTAGACAGCCAACCACCGCCATGGAGAAAGCGTTTAGTTTACTGCTGGAAGAGCTTGACAAGATTAGTGGCTCAGAAGGTAACACTTTTGATCCTGACGTCAGCGACGATGATGATTTGGTCACAATTACCGGTGAAAGTGGTTCTGTTCAAGACAGTCCCAACCTACAGTCTGCTAAACATGAACCTATCAACACTTGCGGGCAGTCTGCAAGAGCTAAAGCTGGGGTAATTACCACCGATTTCCCACAAGAGCCCAGAAATGAAAACAGATCTGAATTAGATCGAGTTAATCCTGCCCACAGTAGACCATTACCAGAAACTGGTTTAAACATAAGTGTGGTCACTGAAGCAGGTAACGGTGCACCAGTGCCAGAAATGGGCTCATCCACGCGTGTGGTCACTGAGGCAGGTCACAGCAAACCAGTGCCAGAAATGGGCTCATCCAAGCGTGTAGTCACTGATGCAGATCACAGAGAACCAGTGCCAGAAATGGGCTCATCCAAGCGTGTAGTCACTGATGCAGATCACAGAGAACCAGTGCCAGAAATGGGCTCATCCAAGCGTGTGGTCACTGAGGCAGGTCACAGCAAACCATTGCCAGAAATGGGCTCATCCAAGCGTGTAGTCACTGATGCAG